CACATACAAGCGATCGAGCGGCTATAGATCGCTTGTATGTGTAACGGCTGTTTCCATTCAACTGTTTTTTTCTGCCTGTGCGCGGCGATCCGCCAATGGGAGCTTGCCGTCCGTCTATTTTTTTTACAACGGGCGGACGACAAGTGGTTAAAGTGGACCTTTACACCCTTTCTCTAAAAATCACATCAGCATATGAAGTATGGAGGTTGATCGAGCAGCAGCCCTTAGAGAGGGCAGTAGTATGTCCGACCAGTTACTGTAGCTTGAGCGTCAGGTCTAGAGTGGTGAGATTGTTAGAAAGTCAGGGTGTCCAAACTTTCATAAATTTGTCATGGCAGTCCTTGAGAATGGTGGATGGTTTTTTGTTCACTAAGAATCCATGCATGTGCTGCCTAAATCCTTTATATGGGTTAACTTGTTTCTTCCTAGAATGGGCAGCGGTTTGCTTAGCAGCCAACAAAATGAAGTCTACCAGTTTTTGCTGGAGCGGCCTAATCGCACAAATTTAATATGCAATAGCACATGCCAGGGGTTCCTCCGAATGTGAGTTTGGAACAAGAAGGAAATGAGTCTATACATTTTTTTTCAAAATTTGGTTGCAAGGAAGAAGCTCCTTTTCTTTACCTCCCATATTGTGCACCTGTATCAACTGATTGTCAGCTCTTTCAAATTGGCAATTGTATGGCAAGCTTTATTGCTACGAGCTGCATAAGCAATGGGTTTCTCTACAATTAATGTGGCAATTTGGAGAAGTTCTCAAACGGTTCCTGTTGGCTTTTTTTCCCCCTCCACGCTATCCAGAAAGTCAGCTCCAAATAATACATCCTGCAAAGTATTATTTCATCTACACAGGAAATATTTTGTATTTTAGTGCTTTTTCTACTTTCCAAAATGATATTTGTGTAATTTAAATCACTTTAAGCTCCCATTGTGGTATAGCAACCGGGCAGAATCAAATCATTTTAAGCTGCCATTTTACCCATACCTTTTAAAATAACAACAAACACACCTTTTAGAAATGTTTCAAATCTACAAACACATACTTCTAGATTATTGCCGGCTTGTATTCTTTGCATCCCTTATTTCTCTATTCTTCCCGGTCTTCTGACAGTGGCCATGTTTACTAAGGGCAGGTTACTAGATCTCCTTTTACTCCCTGAAAATTGGCAGATGTGACTAGACATGGGACCATGCACATCATCTCAGGGGAGAAAAATCCCTTTCACTGAGAATGAGATATCCCAGTAATGCTCTGCAGATGTAACCTTCCCAGGATGCTATGCTTTGGCAAACTGAAGTCATTTTGCCCTTTCAAAGCAGGAAGTGAATGCTTTGCAAGTGTAAGTATTTCACAATCACAGCATTTTACACCTGACATGTCTATGTTATTATTAATCATCATATATAGAGGGATGCATTGGTAGAATTTGATCTTTAAGTGTAAAGATCTACTTTAAGGGCAGCTATACACAGAGAGAGGCAAGTACAAGCAAGCAGTCAAATACACAGTAATACAAAATTTGTTGTTTTTAATTTTGGTGGGGGAGGGCGGTCGGTCGCTGGCGACTTCCCTGCCAAATAACATGCAACTCTGTTCAGCCAGTTTGACTCGCGCACCGCAGGAGACATGATAGCTATTTACTTTTCTTCCCTGCAATCAAAACCATACAGCTTGGTCTGGTCTGGCCTGGACTGGACTGGATGGTGAAAGAGCAGCAGCAATACATTGCAATTCTGTAAAGACTGGCTTACAGTACTGCTCCTTCACTGTTCCTTCTTCTTCCAGCAGTCTGAATGCTGATGAGCAACAGATTACTGGAGGCTAGAACAAAGACTAATTCAGGTACAATTTGAAAAATACAGTGAGGGGAAATTACTATGACTGGAGCAGACAGAATCTGGAGCAGGTGTGCCTGGCACCCAGTCAGCATCTATCTTTTAATTTGCAAAACTTAAATGAACATGCTGAAGACAGAAGCTGATTGGTTACTATGCACAGCTGCTCCAGATTCTGTCTGCTCTCGTTTTAGTAACTTCCCCATTTTTGTCTTTTGCTATTGAAAACATAACTAAATGAAATGGAAGTTGTATACTGCATACCTACATTCACTTTAATGCTGAACTCCAGCCTTGCAGATTTTACTGCACACTGCAAGCTTCTCACAGTGTGCATTGAAAGTTGCAGCAAAGTAAAATAGAGCCCAGCTAATTTCCTGGTTGGAGGACATCCAGCATCCACTAGACTTTTACTCCCCAGCCTGATCGCCATTGGATTTTATTGCTTTTAGTTTGACTTTGAGGCATGGAGGCTCACCTTGACATGTGGTTGTTACCAAGGGCAGTCTGCATACAAGGCTTGCCTAGTAATGTTCACTACTGCAGACTGACAACCACTTATTAATTACACATTTTGATATTCATATAACGCCAGCCTATTGCTTGCATCAGGGCTAGAGGCCCTGGACTGCTGAGGCAGGGTGCTGGGATGATTTCAGGAAGCTGTGTAGAGCACCCACACCAACCATGATATGCCTGCACTACATAGAGATACACCGAGATACAGTGATGACCCCACTTGAAATTAAATAGGGTATGTAATGGAAAGGTTTTATTTAAAAATGTCATTAACGTCGTGATTGGTGAGGAGGAGGAATTAGGCAAAGGCCAAATGTGAGCAGATTAAACTTCAGCTTTAATAATTCTTGTAAATCAGCCTACTGCTTAGGACTTTTATTCAATGCATATAGTTAATAATGCTTGTTTGTTATGCAAACCGGGGTGCCAAACCTGTTAGCTCAAATGGTGTTTCAAAACCATTTGTTTTGTCTCCATTTACCAAGCTATTGATTAAAATAGATTATTTTATGAACTCTAAAATGTTAGAGTTGTAAGATAATGCCAGACTGACAGAGGCAGGTCACAGCAAAATGGCTCAGAGACCCTTAGGTCTCATTAAAAACATGAGGTATCTCTGGGACAGGAAGTGATCGCCAGGTAAAAATAAAGCGAAAAAAAGCCCTAATAAAGAAAACAAATGTAAATACCACATCTAATGACTGGTAAGCCGCAGTATAATAAATATTTGCTTTTTGGCTTAGATATACTTTACCGTAAATCGATAAAGATTACACACTTAAAAACCTATTTATAAACAATGTGTACAGCCATTGGCCCTGCAAATATCTAGGAAAGTTCATTCTGTGGGAATGGATGCACAAATCAAACGTTCTTGTTATATTTTCTGCTTGAGTAGAATGCATTTTCAAATGTTATCTTGCAATAACACATTATGGTCACTAGATGGAGCCAAGGAGCATAGGCAATAAATATTTAATTCCTATGCTCCTCAGCTTCATATAATGGCCATAATACGGTAATACAAGATGACGTTCAAAAAAAAATTGGACATATAAAGAAAATATACAGGAATGTTAATTTTGTGCATTCATTTGCATAAAACGAACATTCACTGACATTTGCAGGACTCTGCAATGGCTCTGTGAATTGTTTGATAATAGACCCCAATATATATTTTTTGTTTTTGAAGCCTGATGCAGCAAACAAAAAGTTACAACCTATGAGACAGCATGTGACTTTTATATTTATACTTTGCTCGCAGTGTAATTGTGAATGATTTATTTGTGTTTTAGAAACTAATGAAAATCCCAGTAATGTTAACTTATTGTTTGTTGCTCAGTGTGATCGTATTTCTTCTGAGGTTAAATGCTAAGTGTACGATTTTGTCCTTGTTGAGAGATAATTGGGAGTCCAGCTGTGTCACCAAGTAATTGCGGGTTATGGTTCTGCCTTTGTTGTGTGACTTTTTGTTCACGGAGTTAATAAAGGCAGGAGAATGTTCCAATATTGGCATACAACGATTATCTAACAAGAAGAAATGTCTTCTGTCTTTCTTGTATGATAAATATCCCGAAGCAGCAAGCGGATGTTCTTGTTAGCCAAACAAACTCATCACAACAGGTGACAAATCTGCCAGCCAAGTCTAGAGGTTGCTATGCGATGTGATGAGAGGCAGGGGCCTGCGCGGTTCACTGACATGTAGCTGTCTGCGGAAAATGAAAATGTACGCTCGTGTGTTTTATCTTTTGTAGTACAAGGAAAGGTTTACTCTTCTGGCTGGAACAGTGAAGGACAGCTGGGACTTGGTGACACTACAGAAAGGTCGAGCTTTCATGAAATCTCCTTCTTCAGCTCTCAGCATAAAATCAAACAGCTGTCGGCCGGATCCAATACATCGGCTGCCTTGACTGGTAGGTGCTCAGTATTAACACTTATTAACAACTGCGACCTGAAAGTTTCAGAAATGTTTTTCAGGGCACCATTTTGCAGGGTAATACGTATGTGTGAATGGAATAGACAGATGTTATGACAACCTAGTAATTAGAAATCTTATTCTTGGGATGTCTCCTTCTGCTCCAAAGTATTCAAGTAGCAGAAAGTTAAAGGACTCTTCCTAGGATGTCTCCTTCTCCAAAGTATTCAAGTAGCAGAAAGTTAAAGGACTCTTCCTAGGATGTCTCCTTCTCCAAAGTATTCAAGTAGCAGAAAGTTAAAGGACTCTTCCTAGGATGTCTCCTTCTCCAAAGTATTCAAGTAGCAGAAAGTTAAAGGACTCTTCCTAGGATGTCTCCTTCTCCAAAGTATTCAAGTAGCAGAAAGTTAAAGGACTCTTCTTAAAGTAAAACTTAGTCATCTTGTTTATGAGCAGCTGGTTCCAACTCTTTCAGCTCTGCTTCCCCGAACGTCCTGTCTAGTAGAAGATCACAAGGGACAGAGCAGTCTTTAGCAAATGTCCATCTGCTAGCTCGAAGAAGGGAGCAGGGGAGAGGCTTGCCCATGCTGTGCCTCTGTGTTTGTGGTAACTCGCAGCTTACTGGCATCAGGACTCTGCAAGGGAAAGGAGACACCCTAAAACTGGATATCAGGGCCGGTGCTCAGGGGACCAGCTGATTCTGCAACAAACAAAAACTTTTCAACAGCAAGAAGCAGCATCCATTGTAAGTGATTTAATTCATGCATTTGAAATAACTTTTGGTTTTAATATCACTCTAAGGACTCATTCCCACCGTTGCAGGGGTCCATGTACCATAAAAACTGGCCGAGCCTCTGCGTCTGGCAGTCACAGGTGTTTTGTGTAGTCTACCTATACAAGTCAATCACAGACTGTGACTGTCTGCATCCAGGGGTGTACATCTCAACCTGTAGATATATACATGTGCGGAGCAACATTTATTAGCATACAGCTGCAGCCTGCCATTGACATGTACAGACGGGCTGCATACAACAATGGGTGCCGAGGTTCAGATTGGTTTTATGGTACATGGACCCATGCTTCTGTGTGATTAAGCCCTAAATGTCATCAGAGAAATATGGAAACTACCATTGCCGGCCATTATGAAAATCCTCTTCTGATTTGTTCACTTGGGTGTGTAAATTAGGACTATTTACTTTTTTAAAGTTGAATAAGGATAGCATTAGAACCATGTAAAATGAAACCTAGAGTACCACCTAATGGCTGAAAATAAAAACACTAAATATGAATCATTACATGTTTTTTGGCAGCAAAATGTTGACTGCACTAATCATCATCGTCCTTTTTTTTTTTTCTTCTTCTTAGCTAAGTACTCTATATTAAAAGAACAAATGAGAGCGCCTCCATAGTGTAAAAATGTTAGTTAATAGTAAAAACACGCAGCTCTAAGGCTGTACTTACAACAGTTCGGTAGAATAAAAAATAACGCGTTAACCATTTATCAATACAGGGATCGAGGTTACTGGTGTTTTACATCGCTCCAGATTCTCCCTGCCAGGGGTTCCGTCCTCTCACCCTATTCTACTGGTTTTTATTCTACCGAACTGTTGTAAGTACAGCCTTAGAGCTGCGTGTTTTCACTATTAAATAACATTTTTACACTATGGAGGCGCTCTCTTTTGTTCTTTTTCTCATAGACTGGTGTTCCATCTAATCTGTGGGAGCTGCCTCCACCGTGTTTGCTGTATTTTTACTGCTGGGCTCTTTTTGGATTTGAAGGCACCGGTATTGTTTTGCAATTAAGTACTCTATATTGGTCTAGGACCAGACTAGATATTTTACTTGTAACTAAAATATCACTTTGAGATGGTCTTTCCCTTTAAATATCACTAAATACAGCACTGCTATTGGCTTAGATTCTCTAAGAATCCATATTGTTGTTTTTGTTTTGTTATTGTCAACTGACCTAGCCCACAGCGATTT